CATACATTACCCTTGCTACCCATACATTACCCTTGCTACCCAATAATTGCTGTTTACCATATACTTCGTACTCGTACACCCATTCATATATTCTTACTTCGTTCTCTTTAGAGGGCTGTTGCAGCCGAATTGGACCACGAGTTAGCAGGCCTTGAAGGGCTAATGAAAGACTTGAATGCAATAACAAGCAATGATTATCTAACATAACATCAACCATAAAATTATTATCACTGAGGTGAGGTGCGCACCTGACCAAATTAGTGTGCAAGTACTTCCATTGCATGCTAGTATGATAACCTATTGTATTGTATGACCTAACATGGCTATAACTCATGAGAGCGGCATGCTTTTTATCCTGTTTAAAACGACCTGTGCTCGCTATCGAATCTGTTTGCAATGACTGCCTCTATCTATAGTCCCTTTCACAGTTCCCTGTGCCATCTTGTAAGGTAGCTGTGCCGTTGCATTGAAACGAGATGGTAAGCTTGCAATGATAGATACCTTTTTTAACATCTTGGACAATTATTCATGTCTCTATCATGGCTAGATTACTGTCCGTCTCGCTTTGATACAAAGGCACAGCTACCTTTCAAGATGGCGCAGTTGTGCTCTCTATTGTACCTGTTTACAATGGCCGTCCTATCTATCGAGCACCTACTGTATAGGTCCTAGACGTTGTACTCTCTATTGAACCCCTTCACAATGACTACCTCTATCTATCGAACACCTACTGAACTAGAGGTCCTAGACATTGGTCTCTCTATCGAACCTGTTTACAACGACCACCTCTATCTATTGACCACCTACTGAACTAGAGGTCCTAGACATTGTGGTCTCTATTGAACCTGTTCACAACGACCGCCTCTATCTATCGACCACCTACTGAACTAGATTTCCTAGACATTGTGGTCTCTATCGAACCTGTTTACAACGACCAGACCATTTTATAGTAGGCATTTTCTGGGTTCTATAAACATGAGGCATTCAAGTTTTGCTTGGGGGAAAATGAGGCAAATATGTTTGTACCTGAGCTAGACCACRATGCACTTTGTCATAAACATTTGATCTGGTCTTTTATTTGTTTCAAGGGTTTCTCTACAGTTTTACTCCCTTTTCAAAAACCATCACCCTCTTAGCCGTGTGGTGACTTAGATCAGCCCAGTGGTTGTTCCAGGGTTCTATCTGTGAGTTAGCCATACCCTGACTTAGATCAGCCCAGAAGTTGTTTCAGGGTTCAATCTGTGAGTGAGCCGTGCCCTGACTTAGATCTGGTTGTCTCAGGTTTCAGTTGTATTAATATTTTATCTTTATTTTTTCCCCAGGATATCAATCACCCTGAGGGTATATCTTGGGAAGAACGTACAGGGCCAAACAATGAGGTGGTACAGCACACAAAAATGTGAATAATTTAGCAACGGTGAGCTATCAAAACCCCCTTCAAGATCATATGCGGATGGAGAAAAATCTCAAATAGTTTTATAATCCCACATAATTTCTTAGCAAATAAGTAAAAAGCCTATGTAGCGGTGCAGAATAAGGGTTCGAGCGGGGAAAGGGGAGGGGGACTGGGGATAGGTGAGGGGTGGCTCTTGATTCTCGTCCCCAGTCCCTGTGCCTTTCTTTTTCTTCCACTCTCCCCTCGAGCAGCTCCATAGGCTAACGAAAAAGATATATTAGTTTTATAGCCAGGTTTACATGTAGCATTATCCAAGACCGGAAGAAAAGTATCACTTCCGGGTGCTATTTAAAAGTTTTTATGGCCAGATTAATTTACCAAATTTTTATCCACTCAGTATTAACACTTGTTTCTTAATTACAAACCTAAACCGAAATTAAAATAGTAAAATATTGACGCCATTTCTGGTTTTTTACGAAGAAAATTCCGGATGTGACGCAAGCTAAGTTCCCTGCGCCATCTTGAAAGGTAGCCGTGCCTTTGCGTCGAAGCGAGACAAACGGTGAGCTTGCAATGATACAGACCTTTCTTAACACTTTGGACAATTATTCAAGTGTCTCAATCATTGCAAGCTCATCGTTCGTCTCACTGCGATGCAAAAGAACCTAAATTGCGCAGGGAACTGTGCAAGGGACTATTTGACTTTTTGTGCGTTAAATCTTTTAAGGCACATTTTGCCTTTAGATTTTTTGGCTCAGAATGACTAACGCTCTCAAAATCGTGGCAATGCTCGCAAACTAATTGCCAGTTACCCTTAAAGAGTTAATTCTTCAATATAAAATTCATAATATTCTAATATTTTTAAATATTTCCATAATCATCAAAAGATATATATATTTGTAGTCACGTGGGTTTATGATGGTTTTGATATTTCTATTTCCCTGTTTTGGCCTTGTACATTTTTTAAAAAGATTTTACGGAGATTTTAGTCCGACAAAATTAGGACTTCTAGCTTACAAAGTCATGTGCGATAAAAGTAGACAAAAATTACAGGCAAATGTTAGACTCCCAAAGGGACTAGTTACAACATTCAGTTAATTTAACTGGGCCCGGTTGTACGTAGCCTGGATAGTGCCACAAAGTGGATAAGTCGATGCTGCTTTCCAATAAGTTTATCCACTGGATAAGATTTATCCGTCGAGTAGCGCTATCCACCCTTCGTACAACCGGGCCTGGTGGCGTCATCACCGCCCTATCTTCTCTTGTTATAGATACACCAACATGGCGACTGTTATTTTGTCATTTRAATAATTCAGTTTGTTTCCAAGTGACGTCATCACCGCCATGTTGATGTACGTTAGCAAAAGATTTCTCGTTAGCTTCTCTTGTTATGTGCACCAACATGGCCGCCATGTCTTTTTCATTTGAATCTGGTTCTGTTTGTTTCAATGTGACGTCATGACCGCCATATTGGTGTACGTTAACGAAAGATTTCTCGTTAGCTTCTCTTGTTATGTACACCAACATGGCCGCCATGTCTTTGTCATTTGAATCTGGTTCTGTTTGTTTCAATGTGACGTCATCACCGCCATGTTGGTGTACGTTAACAAAAGATTTTTTCGTTAGCTTCTCTTGTTATGTACACCAACATGGCCGCCATGTCTTTGTCATTTGAATCATTCACTTTCTTACGTTAACGCCGCCATCTTGTTTACGCATACCAAAATGGCTGCTTTGGTTTGTCTTTAGTTCTTCGCTTATTGTAGTCATCATCGCCGCCACATTGGATTGTTTTTATACGCCAACATGGCTGCTTCGCATTGATTTTGTAGTTCAAGGCCTCTTAATAATATAAAGTAAATCCTTAATATATAATTGCTTTAGAAGAGCTGGATGAAACTTTATTATTGGATCCTAAAATATCTAGGGATTAATATTTTAGATAAAAAATAATATAAGCAATAAAAAATAAAAATAAAAGAAGAAGAAGAAAATAATCTATTTTTAGATATTTAAGCATAGGGTGCCTCTACGCATGCCCAAGCTTCATACCCTTAGTCACAGGCCAGAAGAAAGGCAGGCTCTGGGTACGAGATTGATTTAACATCCAATAGTACAGCGGAAAAGGCACGTCCTATTACTCTATCATTTAGCTTTTCCTATAAGTTGTACAGAGTCTGGGATAACATGGGGATTCTTACCTTTKGTAAATTGGTAAAGTTTGGTATTGAAGTCTTAAATGACATTGTGAAATTATTGAATAAATCCTTGTTAACAAAAAGTATTTACTTTTAATTTACTTTTATTTTTTTATTTTTTTATCAAGTATGAACTCGATTTCCAAGTGATTTTCGTAGCGAAATACGAAGTTCATAGCATACTACGAACAAGGGGTGTGTTCAAAATGACGATCCAAAACAGGAGCCAGGAGCATACGGCTCACGTATGAGATATGAATAACAATGAAACAGCCGCTATCGTGGTTGATCTAACAAGAGAAGCTAATGAGGAATGCTTTGTTACCGTCAACCAAGATGGCGGCAAAAATAARATAAAAAACAAGCAACTCCTGGATTCGAGGCTAAGCCCGCATACAGTTCTAGATTTAGGTGGTGGGTAATGGCAAATACCCCCTCGCGACTCAGATCTGTTGAAAATGTTCGGTATAGACCCCTTGCAGCATCTTGGAATGCAGCTCAATCTGGGGGACCAAAGAGTAGGATCCCAATAGTCCCCTTCACAGTTCCCTGTTCACGTCAAGCTTGCAATGGTAGAGCCCTTTTTTAACACCTTGGACAATTATTCACGCGTCTCTATCATTGCAAGCTCACCGTTTGTCTCCCTTCGATGCAAAGGCACGACTTCCTTTCAAGATGGCGCCGGGAAATGTGAAAGGGACTATTCTCAGCAGATTGGAATTATTTTGTTTTGTCCTCTAAGTGAGCTGCTTTGACGTCACATGCAAGAGGTCTATTGGGTGTCTGTAATGACTATTAGTTCCGTAAACAGTTCCGTTAGTTCCGTTGTTTAGCTACATGCAAACAGACAACACTTTAATTTTTGCGATTTGATTTTAGTTTTGAACATTGGAGATCAAACTTCAGAAATTCAGGCTCGTTTCTTGGACTCGATATCACATTTGAGGCGTCTCCTTTGATTCGAGGGTTTTTCTCCCGCAAAATCCAATAGTTACATTCCAGTATGATATGTGATTTATAACGAGAAATCTATACAGGTACGGCCAAGGTCACAGTCATCTATACCGGGAATTTCAACGCTGGACCGGAAGTCAGCATTGCTTGGTTTTGAGGACTGGAAACGGAAAATCAGTTAAAATAACTATATAAAACATTTTAATAAGAACAATATGATAGTAAAACTCACTGAAAAGCCGAAATTAAGTCCACACGCACATATAGACCAAGAGAAGTATCAAGACACTTTAGAGGTTTTGTTGTTATTTCTTGAAGATATTTTGAGAAGTTCGAAAATTAGAAATCCGCCTGTACATTTACAGAGCTTGGGCTACCTGTGGTCTATGCACTCTAGCATTGCATTGCTGTGATTGATGACGACTGATCGGTGGTCACGTCATGTTGGAGCACATTCCTTAAACGATCTCATCCAGACTTAAGTYTGGATATTATCTATGGTTGATAGATYATACTTCATTACGACACATTCCAACGCCATCATGCAAATCCACAAACAGTGAAAACATGCACTAAATCCTTGAAACAGTACTATGTGAARCACTTTCAATTTTATATCCGTTTGTTCTTCTTTTTTCTCTTTTCTTTCTTCTTTTCATTCCTTTCCTTTCTTTTCTTTGCTTTGATTTGCATCGTTTCCTTTTCATTTCCTTTCGTTTCGTTTTTCGTTTCGTTTTTTGCTTTGCTTTACTCTCCTTTTTTCTTTCCTTTTCTTTTTTTCTCGTTTTTCTATCGTTTTTTCCCCGCTTTCATCTAGAAACTGGTAAAAAAAACCCACAAGATTTTTCGAAAAAGATTGAAAGCAGAAAGCATCTTGAGAGGAAACTAAGTGAATAGTTGAACACAAAATGTAGATTACCGTTTGATTTAAATTAATTGATATCAACAAATGATGTATAAATAATGATGATGTCACTTGCATAAATAGGTATCAAACTGTGCCTTTAACACTTTCTGCGGGGGAGGGGATGATGGGATATGCAATAAGGGGTCGGTGAAATTTGCATAATAAATTAGTCACCTCTTACACATCTATTACATCATCTGTTATATCATCGACTATTTCTGAATTTTATAAAAAGAATAAATAAATTGATCAATTGAATCCAATATAAAATTAAATTTAAAACGATAAAACATAAAAATACCATCGTTTTTAGTTAGATATTAGAAACTTGTAGGCCAGGTTATTTGGAGTTCCTCACGGCTTTATCTTTGGGCCTCTAGATCTTCCAAGTCCATCAGATAATAAGACAATTCATAGTAGAATAATCTATTCAATATAAAATAGTTAGCCAATATTATATTTTAAACATACAAAAATTAATTATTAATATTAGATTAAAAACTTAGAAGTAGTTTGGAGTGCCTCAGTTCTAYCTTGGGACCACTAAGRAACTTCTAYATTTAATATGAGWACGTGTGCAATTCCCTTTTTGTTTAGTTATAATTATATAATATTTTAGAGATGAAACAAAATAATAATTAGTTAATTAAAATATATGTTAAACATCCCGGTCCATAAGAATAAAAGCGTAAAAGTTGTTTGGAGTGCCTCAGTTTTGTTTTGGGAGCACTAGAACTTCCAAATTATTGGTTGTAAATTGGTTCAGTATCAAAGTTTTGAATGAAACTATTCGTGTGTGATTTCACACTCTTGACGAGTTTGAAAGTTTATCCARACTGACAAGCCTGACAAGGTCAATCTTGACATGAACCACGCTTGACTACTATCATTCAAAAATCGCAATTTTTATCGGTGTATAGTATGGCTTTCATTTCTGGTATCTAAGCAGTAGATGGAGGCGGCAGGGCACTAGGAAACAAAGTGTGAAACAAAACCACAAACGTATAGCACAGAATAAAAAAACAAACATGAGATTAMCACGGTAATGATTTATTCTATGACGAAATATTTAGCACAAGAACGAGAAAGTGAAGTGAGAGTGAAAGAATTTGTTAATTGAGAAGCTAATGAGAAAGAAATACTATAAGGAGTCGAGAAAGATCTCAAAATTGTTATAATGAAGAGCACTTAGGCACAAATTGGATTTGGTATAAAAAGAGTTGAAATTTTCAAAAGTTTTGGATCGTTTTATGTAAATAATATTTCTGAAAGACGACAAAATCTATCAAATTCAAACGAAATTTTGTGCTAAAAGTGGACAAAGAATACGAAGATTTTTTCGTGCCTAGCTCAAGAATAGTTTATTATTGGAAGATGATGAAAGAAAATTTTAGTAATTTGATTTGGGAGTCCAAGGATGCGTTTGCGTTTATTTAATATGTCATGTAAAAGGTTTTTATGACTTCAAGACCTAGACAACCTGTTTTATTTATGAAGTCCAAATTTATCCCCAAATTTTAACGGAAAAAATCCTAGCGTCTTTGATTTAAATCTGTCAGTTAATACTCTCATAAAGAAACTATTCAAAAGCAATCATAAATACAAAAGAATTGATTCATAAAGGTATAGAAATTTCGTGATTCATGTATACGATTTGCATGACYAAACTTCAGGCATTTTTGCCAAAGCTACAGTTGATTGAAAATTTGTCAAAAAAGTTTAGGATTTTAGCTGTAAGGAATAAACCTAGAGGTTCTGCAAGAATAAGGGAGCTCAGAAAATCAGTCCTTTATTATTTTTGGCGCATTTTTACGAATAAAACACAGTAAGAAAGATTTTATCAAGAAAGCCATTTCCCTGCTATGTTGTTTGTCGATTGCATTGTCGATCAATTCGACGTGCTGTGATTGGTTAATATATCGGTCCTAAATAAATTGATTGACAGGTAAGCCATTTCTGAACTGACGCCGTTTAGAACTTGGAGAAAGATGGCCGCAGTCCAACCATATCAAAGAGTTCTGCTAGAAAATCGCGATATTTTACTCAATGATTTAAACACAGACGATATCATCCCTCTGCTTTTCCTAGCCAAGGTTCTCAGTAATAARGAGATCGATGATATTGAGATAGGACGAACGAGGAGAGAAAAGACTGAGAGTCTCTTGGATGTTCTGCATTACAAGGGAGAAAGAGGTTTTGATGAGTTCTGCAAAGCTTTGGAAGAAACGTTTCCACATTTAGCCTCAAGGATGAGTAGAAGAGAATCCCAGACAGAGCGCTCAGGTAAATTTTTAATTGCAAATTCACTCTRTCATTAGTTTTGTTTGTGATAGATTTAAAATTCTGTTTCAATGACAAAGTTTTCAAAGTGAAAGTTCTCAATCGTGACGATCGATTTGTGGCGTTTGGAATGAGGCAAATTTTTACGGATCCAAAATCGGAATCTTGTTCTATGTCCTAGTGTTTATTCAATTCAATAAGCCCTTAGAAAATTACCATTGTTTTCGTATGCAGAACTGGTGGAGAATATATTAGTAATCGTAAACTAAATTCGTTTTTTTATTGGTTTAAAAGTGACGTTTGTAAAGGAGTTTGCAAATGAGTCGCTAAGCAAAGCAAAGCGACGCTACGCCCACCCCTACTMTCTTCGAAACCACAATATTAAACCCGTCTCGTACTCCACAGAAAAATACCACAACGAGCAAAACTTGAGCTCAAGGTATTCCACTTCGTACTCGGAACACGAGAGAAGCCATCGAGAAATAAACGGAGACGATTTTCATCGTATATCTGAGCATTCTTCAGAGAGAGTTATCGGTTCAGAAAGACCTACCGATATGAGAGGCGATCCGGAACCTCAGTACGCACAGGTTACTAAAAGACCTAAAGATTCCTCACTAATGGATAGCAGTAGAAGAGGAGAAGATAACAGGTCTGTAAGCTCCTACCACAGCCAGAGACATGACCGAGATAGAGATACACGGTCTCTTGATGGAGACCGAAGAAGAACTCCTCGAAGAACTATGGACGAAGTGAACGTAAGTTGTACTACAATCTACTTTAATGACATATAATACACAACCACCAGCGCTTTTAAGACCCTTTATTCGCATTATTCATCACCCTWACAAACTATTTCATCCATGGTATTTAGAGTTGAGGTCCGTGGGGTTAGAAAGTTTGTTTTTTATGTGTTTTCCGTTTGTAATTTGAGCGCGAATTTATTTCTTGCTGCGCGTAACAAAATCGCTTATTTTTTTGCATGGAATGTTAGCTATGTAGTGAGTATAAAAACAGATAAAATCATCGCTTGAATTAACTCTCTTACCCTAACCCAACACGTAGCAGTCTAGTAATTATTCCTTAAACTATAAAACTACATACCTTCGAAATTACTCACTATGATTTGTTAAAAAGTTTGGAAATTTTCTTTCGCAAATTCAAGTTGGAAGGCTCGATCAATTTTTCCTTTTCGATTTAAATTGGCTCGCGCTTCTGATTTTCGCATAATTAAGAATGCTTTTCCTTCTTTTTCCCCTTAGAAAAACTAAATAAACTATGGATTATACTTAAAGTTCATTTACGGGTAAAATTTAGCTCAAAAGCATAATAAAAAAGAATTCGTGACTCACTATTACGATTTTATATCAGTAACGATTTTCTTCTAAATATTGAAGATTATATTGTGCGTTCGTTTGTGAATAAAATACTCTTCAACTATAATTTTTAGACATTCTTCATTTTCCTATTACCTTTCAACCTTTTCCCGCTCAATTTTGTTCATCAGTTGAATTCTTTATATATTTTTGGCCTCAAGAATGAAAGCTGTCGTAATTTTATCACTTATCGTTGGTCCTTTAGCGCGCTTGTTAACGTCTTGTCTTTCAGCTGTTTTTTCCCAAAAATTCTTATTTTTTCGTGGCACTTATTTTATTTTATTTCTTTTTCTGACAAAAAATATTATTGAGCTTTTGGAAGCAAAAAATAATAATTTAAGTTAAAAAATTCAACAATTTATGTCGATGTCATTTAAACATTTTGGGCATTTTTAAAAATTTGTTTCAAAATGATGCAAAAATAATGTTTATGAAAAGGTTTTTTTGCTCAGTATTAAGCCGTATTTCACATCTGTAAATGCAAAATACTTTCTCATGATAATAATCTTCAAATTATAGCTAAATTTTACTAAATTGTTTTGTTTTTTTGTGACAACGTTTCCTACTAATTTTGCCATTTCTTATGGAAAACGGAAAAGAATTACTGCGAAAGGTGTGAAAATGTATTCACTCTTTTCCTTAATTCCATGAAAAATTAAGTTAAGTTTTGTTAGTCTTGCATGCAATATTTTTATTATTTTAAAATAGACTTTATTTACTCTCTACTCAATGATGTTACAAATTCTATATTTGTTCAAAATATAAGATTTTCTGTATTCCTATAAAATGTATCTATCTTCATAGTGAAAAATGCTTTTTCAATCCGTTCACTTTCATCACATAATAAAATCTAAAACTTGACAAAAAATGAAAATTATGTATTGAAATCCTTTTAAAAATTATTGTAGAATTTCATCTCTGATTCGCTATTTGTAAGCAGTGTCTTGGAGGAGAAAAGCTAAATAATGCTGTACTGACTTGAAAATGCTTTTTAGTGGCAAGAGAAAATATTGGCAAAGTTTCCAAAGTGGACAATGTTTCCTTTAAAACCAAGCAAAGTTACCAGAATTATTGTTCAAAATTGATATTTTTTAGTACTAATTCCTTTAGTTCATGTGTTAGTGTGATTTTAATGCAAGTTCATTTTGTTAAAAACTTTATTCAAAGTTGTTTAACTTCAATTCGTAGTATGTGTTTGTGTTCTCTTATCTTAACCGACTTTAGATCTCCCGTCAGGGTACAATCCATTTCTTAATGTCCTTAACAAGTCTTTTCATGTTTGATACCTTGACCCTAAACGAAAGCACTATTTTACAATCAACTTAATAACACAAAACTTCAGTACATAGATTACATTTTTATTCAGCTATTTTGAATCAACTAAAAACAAAGACGTCCTGCAAAGAGGAGTTAGCTGTAACCGGTGGATCTCTGGTATTTATTATGGTTATAGAAGAAATATAATTTATTCCATCAAGGGTAGTTCATTGACTACTCATGCAGGAAGAAAAATTTCAAGCATTTTAAAGGTTGACCTTTAGAAACTTGTGACTGATATTGGACTTCGGTGTATCATTAGTGCTTGTGCTTATTGTAGTTCTATAGTTAACATCCATGTCTAGCACTATTATTGATTTCCATCCAGACAGATAGTGCGCTTCTGTGTTTATCATGGCGTATATATATATATACATGTATATATACATGTATATATATACACCTACTTGCAAGAACGTTGTCATAACATTAGCGATTTAGTGGGATAGGAATTATATTAAAAAACAAGAAAAGATCACTGAAAGCTGAACTTTTTTTTTGTCTTTTAATGTGTTCCTTTCTCACTAAATTACTAATGTTCCCTTCTTGTATGACAACCTTCTTGCAAGTATGTGTACTTATTTTATAATCAATTTATTAAGCAAAAAGCTACAAAGCTGAGCTTGATAAGAAACCTTTTTTATGTGCAACCGTAATTAAAGTCTATACTGGTCATAAAAATGTAAAGTGCAAAAAGATGTATAAATGTGCTATATAAGAACCTTTTATTCAATATTATCATTATTGATCCTAGAAACTAAGCATTTCTAAGAAGTAACTCGAACCTCGTTCGCATTGGTGAGATGCTTAATAGCACTAGCAGCGCACACCAGTCATATTTTTAATATTTGACAATTTCGTTGCATCTCAGATTGGATAGGAACTCTTATACATTATATTTGTGCAATTTAATTCTTTATACTGTGTTACAATTGTACATATTGTCACTTTAACCCCTATGATTATAAATATATAAAAATGAATAAACTCTTTATTTACTGAGGGTAGCACTAAATACAGCAATATGCTAACAAACCTGTGGCCCTCTAAATTCCTATGTCACACTTATCTAGAGTGGACTACACCTCTGATGTGTTTCAACTTGTTTTCCAAAATATCCTCTACCTCAGATTACGACCTATAGTATATGCTATGTGACCTTTTATATCATATGTGTTACTCCCCTAGAATGTCTGCTATGCCAGACTGCACGTTTAACAGTCTTGTCTGGATTGCTCCATTATTTTCATGTCTAACAAATGTTTCCTATTTAAATTAATTTAAGTGTCTTTGCAGCAATGTTGAAACCTGTCAAAGATATAGATTTCATTTATTTGGCTTAAGAAAAGTAGCCCATTGATTAGCAAGTAAATTTGTTTATTTTTACATTTAGATTTGATTTGATTTTATATATGCATTGGACCCACAGCTCTGCACAGATTTTCCTTGAGGGAAGAAATGCTATAGAACCCAGGAAAAATAACTGTTTAAATTTTAGCCCACTTTCCTGCAGACTCACTCCCACTACACTGTTTATTTACAACACACGACAATCAAGTAGATTCACATGTTGATTTTTATGGAGGGAGGAAAGCCGGAGAACCTGCAGAAAAACCCTCGTGGCACAGGAGAAAACAGCACATTGAATAAATTGAACAAATTTAAGTCATTTGTGTTGTTCAGTTGAGATTAAAGCACTATAACCCAAGGCTATAACTACTTACAGCTGTACAAGTATGCAGCAGAGTGGGTGGCATAGACAGGGAGGCAGCAAGAGAGCACAATAGCAGCTATTGAGCATAGCGCTAATGCTACAAATAATATATACTTATGCAAATTATAATAGTTTTGAATATTTAAAGTAAAGATCAGTTAAGTAGAGAGGTTGGATCTTCAGGGAGTTAAGCTAAATTAAGAATTTCATTTGTCATGCAAAACTTAAATAGAAATTTAAATACTTATAGAATTTTCCCTATTTATTCACAACATAACTTGTCTTAAAACTGAAAAAAAGTTGACCAAAAATTTTTCATTTTGTTTTGAAGCAGATTAATTTTTTGGTCTTACAAAAAAAAAACTATAAGAAAATAATTGTTCTGGTGTTGAAATATGAAGAATAAAGTTGTTTTTATGTTTATGGTAATTTTTCAATTGCTTTTAATTTGTTTTTAACTCATTATTCTATCCAATAGTGTTGATAAGTTCATTTCTAAATAGTCCTCTAATTGATTTTTAAGACTTAGAAAAACATTTTTCTAAGAGTAGAGTTTGTTTAGTGATAAATATACAAGCAATGCTCAAAAGTTCAATGTCCCCTGCTAGCAGAGTCTCCTTCGTTGGCAATTTTTGGCAGAGAAAATTTCTCATCTTCTTTGCCAAGAATCACCAACGAGGGAGACTCGGCTAGCAGGGAAAGTTCAATGTTCATTGTCCTTACCTCTACAATAAATAAATCAAAATGTGGAGATCTAAGATTATGTTACTCTGTGCATAGAATATTGAATGTACTGGTAGTGTTAGTAATAAGTAAAGGTAGGCTTAATTGGAAAATAATATTCATGCTGAATTTGATCTTATCCACTAAAAGAAAAGAGTAAATACTAAAAATTAATTTTATCTATTTCATTYTTATTCAGGATGAAAACACTAGAGATATAACTTTATAAACATYTATCTATTCAAAAAGTATCAAGTTCCTCAAAAAAAAGGAGAAACGGCTGAATTTTTTTAGAGCTTCATAGTTGCTTAGCAGCAGTTTCCCTGCTGGTCTCATAACATTGTTTTTATTGTTTAAGGACGAATAAAATAATAATAATAATTATGGTTTGAAGCACCATTGTTCAAATAATCCCGAAAAGACCTTTCTCGAATTCACTTGAGTATTCATGTATTCATACATTTACAGTATTTTATCAAGTCCATCCTTAGCTTCATGTCCAGTTCAAAAAGGTGTATTGTAAGTCCCAGCTGTTAATTTTGAGTCAGGAATGGATTTAAGGTTGAGACAAAATGGTCAAAACACAATGTTAAATTCTCAAATTTTCAGTTTTAATTTTTTTAAACATGGTGCCTGTGCTCTAAAAGTCTTCATTATTGAAAAATAGACCATCATTGAAATATCTCTTTATTTGTTAGCATTGCAGTATAAGACTATTATTAGTTTAACATATCATATATTAATAATTATGCATTTATAGACAGTGTTTCAGTAGCTAAAATTTAATTTGGAAGTTATCATTTTTGGCCAATTTCAAACCATGTCATTCTCTTGAGCAGCACTCCTTTCTTTGCTTAAAAATTGAACTGAAGTAGCTGAAAAATATATGGATAGAATGCATGCAATTTACCAGCCAACCATAGGCTAGAAATCAATACCCCACCCCCCTCAATTAAGCCCCCTCTCTCCAATAATCCCCCTCYCTCCAATAATCCCYCTCTCTCCAATAAGCCCTCTCTCTCAATCGATCGTGCCTGAAATAAATAAGCCCTAAATAGAGGATTTACGGTAATCAACATTACTAGGGGGAGGGAGACATCATTTCTAGGTTTGAAGCAAGAAACATGATACCAAAACAAAAGACTTTTACAGTATAGTAGAAGAAGTATAGTTTAACGACAGCCTTTACATTTACAACAGTGTTGTTGCATTATTTATGATAATATTTAAGGTTCAAARGTCTAAGTACGACAGAGTAGCTTTTAGTTTTCATAAATACTAGTAATGTCAGCATCTTTAACATTCACTTGATATCCATTCAGTGAAGACAAGAAAAAACATGTCTTTTGGAAAGTTCATATCAACAAAGAAAACCATGCCAATCTGCATGATGATGAGTAAAGCTTTAAAGGAATATTAGATAATTGTTTATCATACCCCGATTTTATTGTATTTAGTGCTTGTGTGTGCCTAAATAAATCGTAAGTACTAATAATGACACATTAAGTGAGTTTAACCTCTCTTTTTGTCAATTAATTATAGCAAGAAAAATTAAAACATTGTGAAGATAAGTGAAAATTGTTAACAAAAATGTATATAAATTTGAGACCTTCAACATTTATCTCAGCCAACCCTTTTCATGTTCTATACTCCAATTAATATTTTATTGTGTATTTGCATAACAAGTAAATGACTGATACATGTATCTTCAAACCAATCCATTATCAGATCTATTTTAGCAGTGTAGAGTTACACGATACCCTGTAGACTGGATGACCCCATACGCTGCATAAGTCTGTCGTTTTCTTTGATATTGATTCAAGGAAGAACTAATTAATGGGTCCAGTGCAAAAACCAGACATTCTGGCAACTTTTAATAATGTATATCGATTCATCTTCTGAACGGACGACATATTTACAACTTCCTTTGAGTTATAATCATCGTCTGCGATAGGATTTTGGGTTTTATGTCTCCAAACAGCTAATTTCTGTTCATCGAAAGTCAAAATTCTCAATGCTATCAACTATATTTTTAGTACCTAATACAACAGTTGATTGCTAGATTAATTTTCTTCAATGGTGATTCTTGGTGTTGCATCAATAGTAAGTTACAAATCATTGGAAATTCGTTAATTCTATAACTTCAATTACATTAGATTACGTATTCGTTAGATAAGGAATATTAAAGCTATTATTCTGGTTTAATTTCAAATTTTTGTACAATTGTTTGACTTATATATTATAGTTTCCTCAATTGTAGTAAGTTAAAGAGTTATTTCATTCTACTGTACGTATATGAACTGAAATTATGTTAGATTGCATGGCCTACCATTTAGTTAATTCCTGTTCAATGTTAACTTCTTAATGCATGGAGCATGATTTTTTTGCAGTTACAAAAAATGAGACATGGTTAAGAAATGAAAAACCAAGCTATGTAAAAATTAATTTCCAGTTTCAAGCAATTCTTTTCTAGGAAATATAGACTTCATGATATTTTCTGCTAATAAATGAAGTCCTGTCTATTCAATTTTTCCTAATGATCATTGATAATTAGGCGACAATTTTAACAAATTATTTTTTATCTAATTTAAGCGCTGCAATTTCGGTGTTCTTTAATTCTTGGAATCTATTTTGTACTATATTCTATTAAATTAAGAATTGTTAGTTATCGTTTTGCTTGTTTGTCCTACAGCCTTCAGAAAGCTACATCTATGAGAAAAACACAGTCGTTGTTGAAAAGGTAAGAAAAAGAGGTTTGTGCTGAGGTCACCTATTAATATTAATGTGCTAACCAGAGATCTAATAGCTACTGAAAAAAAGAGATCTTTTGTTTTAATGGTTGACAAATTTGAATGAGAAAAGGTTCCTGAGTTCAATGTTTATAAACAATGAATATCGCTATTAGATGGAAATTTACACCGTTGGACCTTAAGGATGCAAATGAGCAAAAACCATGTACAATGTATCAATAACCTGTATTGTCAAAATATAAATTGTGTGTCGTTTTCATTCTTTGCTGCTTACTCTGTACATGTCTTCAGCTGTACCTGATGTGCAACACATGTACATGCAGTAGTAGAACCAATTTCAATGACCAATGCAGATGTATACGATGTATATAGGAGCAGGCGTAGCTCAGTTGGTTAGTGCGTGACCTTCAGAGCTTGAGGTCCACGGTTTGATCCTTAGGATCTCCACGTCTGTTTCGACTTCCTCTATAATTGTGTAGCTTTAGCTTTAAATACTCTTATAACAGAGCATTGATAGAGAGAGGGGGTAAATTGCGCACAGTTGGCCTCCGTTGATAGCAGTTGAATTTCAACTGAAGGAACTATCAAAGTTAAATATAGGTACTTTACCTTTATGTGCGAAGGTTTTGCTCAGTTGCATCCCTAAGGTTCAATGATGTACATTTCAGTCTCTTACTGTGCGCTGTTGTGTGGAATAACTCCATTGATTCATGTATATTGTAGGCCAACACCAGTCAAGGGTTTGGTATTGCTGTATCTGGTGGCCGTGACAACCCTCATTACAAAACAGGAGACACCTCTATAGTCGTATCTGATATTGTCAAGGGAAGCCCAGCTGATGGACTGCTAAGGTACTTTTATGATGACGTTTTACCAACAGAATGCTTATAAAGAAAATAGCTCGTAACATTATCATTTTTGCCTTTTCTCTTTCCAGAGTCAATGACGTAATAGTCCAGGTAAATGATGTCAATGTAGAAAATGTCTATCACAGAGATGCTGTACAGGCCTTGAAGGACAGTGGAGTCAGTGCAAGACTGGTAAGACTTTAATAATAATAATGATAATAATAATAATGGGAGGTTCTTATATAGCGCATTCATATGACTTCTCGATGTGCTTTACATTTATGACCAGTGGAGGACTTTATGGGCTGCATATCAAGGTGCTATTAGCAGCCATGCGGCTTACAATCATGAGTAATTGTAAATTTACAAACACCACTGAATAAGAACCAACAAAAAACTGGGAAATTTCAAAAATGCATAGATATTTTTCACAGGTCTACCGCCGTTGTCATTAATACGCGGCCACCCCCGACACAAATCTCGTCGTGTAGTTTGCAATAGACTGCCGTCAATCAAACACCTCATTCTACTTGAATGTACTTAAACTCTTTGCAATCGCTTTCGGAACTTTCCTTCGTGATATCTGACTGAGAAAGTTTGATAGAAAAGCCAACTCACTGATCCAAACGTGTATAAATGGTGTCAACATGAATGATTGAAAGTAGTCTATTGCAAACTACACGACTCGATTTGTGTCTGGGGTGGCCGCATATTAATGACAACGATAAATCCAGTAGTGGAGCCTTCGTTAAGCAACGCTCCATCCTCATAAACCTCAAATATATCTTAAGTAACATCACAAAATAATATCTTCAACAGATAATCAAGAGGAGAAAGGCAATGCCAGCTCTTCCCAAAAAAAATGGTTCGCTTCCAACCACCGTCCATCTTAGTCGTGAACCGGGCAGGGGCTTTGGTTTCTCTCTTGCGATGCGTCTTTACATCAAGGATATTGATCCTAAAGGCTTGGCCTTCCATGAAGGAGAGTTGGACCCAGGTGATGTCATTCTCAAGGTAAGACAGAGTTTCCAATGAAGGAATTTGAAAAATATATGTGGGCAGCAAGAATTGTAAATTACACCTACATAGGAATAAAAATCTTCATCTCTCATTTGTAGAAAGTTTGCATGCTGCTAGAGTTGCTAGAGTGCAAACATATATCCGTGAAATAGTACTAACTCTTAGTACGAAATAGCACCAATGAAACAATATTGTTACACCTACTTGCAAGAAGGTTGAATACAAGAATAGAACATTTCTTAATTGAGAAAGGAATTCATTAAAAGACAAAAGAAAAAATTCAGCTTCAGTGATCTTCTTTTGTTTTTTAATATAATTCCTATCCCACTAAATCACTGTTCTATTTTCGTATGACAATGTTCTTGCAAATAGGTGTATATGGTTTGCAGTATATTGAAAATTAGGTCTTACAGTCTAGCTACTTTGCACCAAGATACTTGGGATTGTCAACCTTAGTTGCAAGATTGTAGTTTAGTAGATCTAAATAGAATACCTAGAAAAAATGTGTAAAGACTTCAAGTCTAACTTGAACCTGGAGCAGTTGTTTTGTGGTCACGCAAGCGAATTTGAAAAAGGTATATTTCTAGGCACTACTGAACCCTGAATTATTATTTAATACCTGCGTATTAATACATATGCTATGTGTACATATCTACAGATAAATGACAGGAAAGCAGAAGAGCTAAAGCTTAGAGAAGCAATTGAACTTGTGCGCAAATCAGACCACCTTGAGCTTGTTGTTGCCAAACACAAAATGGACAACTTAAACCTGAGCACTCGTTCGCTGCCGTCAGCATTGCACAAGAAAGGTTTCAATTCCAAACCAGTTGAGAATGGAGTTGATGACTCRCGCAAGTAAGTGGACAATATATTTCTATAAAGGCTTAGCACCATCACATGATGGCAGCCATGACAGGAGGCATAACAATAGTCTTTTTCCCCTGGGAAACTGAATTCTTTCTCATGTAAATCAGATTAGACCAGATTCAAATGTTCCTGCCTCCTGTCATGGCTGCCATCACATGATGGTGAAAGCCTCTATTATTTTAAGAGCAGGTTAGTTTATTCTCTGAAGAAGTGAGCAAGAAAGCAATTCATTATCAATCTATATTCAGTGCCTTCATTAATTCATTATTTCACTCATTCACTCACTTATGAGGAGCAATCGTCCATGCCACCTCAGCTCTCCTTTTTGTGAGAGATCCTCTTCTTGAAGGCTGTTGTGTCTGGTAAACTATTTTGCCAGGACTGTCTTGGCTCCACTTTTGAAAATTCCTAGATCGACCTCTGCTCGACAGCCTGTGCTCCACCAACATTAATTGAGTCTAACCTTCTGCAGTTTAATAATAATAAACCTTTTTAACTTAGGCCGCAACCTGTGCAATGCTTTATTTCAGACCATGTGTCATTCCCTTGAGAATAAAATTCTTTGCTTGAGTTGTATTCATATTCATGAATGCGTCTTTCTCATGTACAACTGTTGAATAAAGAAATGATACTCAAGGGAATGATGACGTGGTCTGAAATGAGAAAGAAATATGCCCATGAAGCTGTAGCGTAATTCTGGCATTGCATTTGAGAATAATATAGCTAATTATAATGCTGACTAAGAGACTTTTGCCCTTTCATTCTTGATAAAATTTATCTGTAAAAATCATTAATCTGCAAAATGTGTACATCTCCTAGTTTAGTGCAGTTCTTTAATCAGTATTTATAAAGCATAAAATTTTTAATTATTAATGAAGATTCTAGTTTACCATAACAACTGTTATTGACCAGGAGTAAAATATTAGTGATAGTTTAAGTTCTTGAGGCTCAAAAATAAGATAATTGTAAAGTGGTAATTGCAGCTTTGATTTCTTATGCATCTTTAATCTACATGTAGAATTCGTAAGATATCTTTATGTGAAAAAGCATAATATACTACTTTATTATATAATTACCAATGAAATATCTATTTTYCTCTATTTCGAAAAATTGATATCTTCACACGTGAAAATAACATGTTATTTTCACGTGTGAAAATAACACCATTGCGATGGCTATTCAAAAATACACGGAAAGAATTGTTTGAAAAAGCCAAAACATACTTCATTGATAATTATATAATAAACAGAATATTACATGGGCGCTTGGAGATACGAAATTTATCTTCTCGTGTTGAAAATCTCTCACTCGTTCGCTGTGCTCACTTGTGAGAGATCTTTTCAACACTCGAAGATAAATTTCGTATCTCCGCGCGCCCATGTAATATCCTCTATTTAATCTTTAAGCTTAAATAAGCCGTTAAGTGATGTATTGTTCCAAAAATGTTTTATCTGGAACTACAAAAGAAGCTGTTAAGTTTTGTGTTGTTCCAAAAATTTATAAATCTGGGACTACAATAGTTAAGCGTTAAAATATATTAAGCTGATGGATAAAATTAAGTTAATCTTTTTTTTTTTTTTGAATTATTCTCTTAATTAATCCTTGATTTTAAATAAGCTGTTAAGTAATGTGTTGTTCCAAAAATTTATTATCTGGGACTGCAGTACTTTAGCATTAAAAAATATAACGTGATGGATGAAATACGTTAACCAATTTTTTTATGAACTAGCATGCAATTTTCCTTTAAAAGCATTCCTATCTAGTTAAAAATGAAATAATACTCAAGGGAATGAGTCATAGCCTGAATAGGCCATTTCACGGATCCCATTACTCAACCTCAGCATCATCAGCGTGTAATAATTATTATTCTTTAGAATTTGACTACAGTCCGCAGTAATGAAAGGAATTTAAACATCAACGAACAATATTGAAACACTTAAAAATTTCACAGGTTGTTGGCAACTTCTAAAGAATATATTACACGCTGACGAGGCTGAGGTTGAGCAACAGGATGTGAAATGGTCTATTGAGAAACTAGTGATTTAAGTCCATTTAACTCCCTTTGGGTGCAGAGCCACTAACAGTCACTATAATCAATTGCCAATAACATAACTATTAACTCTGCTGTTTCCATTAAGTGACAAAGATGATGTAGTCGTTGAAAGACGGCGTGCCAAGTCCATGGACAGGGCATATATAAAGAATCAAAGACGTTTGAGAACCCCAAGGTATACATGTGTGAGGACCAATACTGGTCTACTGTTAGTATCGCTATTAATTACTAATAGCAAGTGTCTGTTATTGCATGTTGCTGCTATGTACTGCTTTTGATAGAGTAATCTAAGTAAACTACTAACCATCATATACTGCTATTACGAAAAAAGGTTGGCATAGGTTTTGTTGCATTGCATACCAAGCCCAGTTGTACCTATGCGCGAGGTGAATCCAATAAGTGAAAGGTCGCAAGGAGAGAATTTTTTAAGGTAGCATGGGTGGCGTTCACTGCTAACGCGTTGTCTTTCATGCTGTGAGTCCAACGGGTCGGGTCGCTGGTTCGAGCCCTGCGGTCACCACATGTGAATTTAGTTTGTTTGATGTGTTGTTCTCTCCTATGCTACGAGGGTTTTCTCTGGGTTCTCCAGTTTCCTCCCTCCGTAAAAATCAACATGTGAGTTGAGCCGTTGTGTGCATAGAATATTGAATGTATAGTGGTAGTGCGTGTGTCCCCAATTAGTGCGAAAGYGCTAGAACAACTAGACACTTCACTGACCTTTTTTCGAAATAGCTGTATTTAAAGATGGTCATTGTTAAGTTAAGAGAATAATATGATAAGTACTATGATTTAGATTACATATGCATGTTGTTAATGCCGAATAAGAAGTGGGTGAGTGTATTTACAGTTTGTCCTACATGTATTTTGTATTAAGGTGTTTTTACTTGCTATAAGCAACTAGAAATTTCATGTTTGTTGCATTTAGAGGATAAAAAATGCAATAGCGGCTTTGCACCATCATGCCATGACAGTAGGCATAACAATAGAGTCGTTCTATCCTGGGAAGAGGGGAATTTCTCATGTTAATCAGGCTATTGTTCCTGCCTCCTGTCATGGCTGGCATCATGTGATGGTGCAAAGCCTCTATAGACACCTTGCAGCACATCAGAATGCAGCTCAATTTTGGGGACATAACAATAGATTTCCAATTCTCAGGAATTCAAAATTTTTTGTTTTGTCCTCCAAATTGAGCTGCTTTGACATCACATGCAAGGGGTCTATTTCAGGGTTTCACTCAGCTGATAAAAGTTTTCGAATCTCATATCTGCTCCAGATGGTGGTCAAACACTGACCACCATGTACTGTCAGATAGAAAGAATTCTATTGAAAACTTGTGATTCAGCTGATGAACATTCCCACCCAGTGATTTTATCATTAGTTTGCGTGCTTTCTCATTACATTTTGTCTATTTTACAACACAATTTCTAGGACTCTAACAGTTTGATGTTTGCACTCAAAATACTAATGTTTAGATTGTATCTAACACTAATGATTTTTTCTCAAGTGACAATGAAGATGTAGGCAGAGGACGCTCTAGGTCTGTGGACAGAAATGGACATGAAGTCCAAAGGTATTAACATCTAACCAACATTGCTCTTTAGACCCTCTCTTACCTATCTCCTTTATCTTCTTCCATCAAACCTTCCTTCCACCTATTTGTTATTCAGCCCCTTTCCTTTCCTTCTTACAAGCAAACCCCTTGCTTGCTTGCTTGCTTGCTTGCTTGCTTG